CCTCAGAGCCCGGTCCAGTCGCCGACAGTTCCGTCAAAACCCCTCCCCGCACATCAACTCCTCATCCGCACCCCAAACTCGGTCCTCGAAGTCATCGCTCAGTTATGGCAAAAGGAGGGCGCCTGGGGTGTTTTTAAAGGAGCGAACGCAACGTTCATCTACTCAGTCCTCTCATCCCTGCTCGAGAACTGGTCCCGCAGTCTCCTGAGCGCCCTCTTCAACGTCCCCGATCTTGGCGTCAAAAACGACCTGGACCGCCTCATTGATATCGCCTCTCCATACCCATGGGCCTCTCTGTTTGTGGCTGCCACGGCGGCTGTCACAACAGGCCTGATCCTCGCACCCCTGGACCTTGTCCGCACACGGTAAGCCCTTGCATCTTTCCCCTCCCGATGACATCATCGCTAATCATCCTTCAGTTTCGTGATAACTTCCACCGCACGCGGGACACGACGTACCTTTGCTGCCCTCCGAAATCTCCCTTCCTATCTCTGCCCACCAGCTCTCTTCCTCCCAACAGTCTTGCACTCCCTCGTCCATCCCCTCCTCACCCTCTCCACACCCCTCGTCCTGCGGAGCCACTTCATGATCGACCGGGAGGCCGCACCCTTTACTTTCTCCTTTTCCAAGTTCTGCACCTCTACAGTTGCATTATTCGTCAAACTCCCGCTCGAAACAGTGCTCCGCCGAGGGCAAGTCGCCGTTCTTAGCTCACCTAGCTACCTCGAAGCGCTCGAGGCACCCCAACCAGGCAGAGGAAGGAGGGTCGGAGGGGATCAACTCGAGACCGTTATACCTGTCGGGCCGTACCGCGATGTCTTTGGCACAATGTACAGCATCGTCAACGAGGAGGGGTCCCACGCCGTTTTAACAACACCGCCACCCAGGAACAGCAGGACCGCATCGGCGAGGAAAGGCAAACCCGCCGTCACCGAGACGGTATATAGGCAAGGTCAAGGTCTGGGCGGACTGCTGCGAGGATGGAAAGTGAGTTGGTGGGGACTGGTCGGGCTCTGGTCGGCCGGAGTTCTCGGCGGTGGAGGTGATGGCGAGTTCTAAGACCCTTCCTACCTCACTCACCTGCTATGACAAAAGGTGTGGTGTTTCTGTAAAATCTCCCGTTTGCTTGAAACGACGGACGAACATCCCCATTTTTCCCCACTTCACATTCACCTGGATTCCTTTTACCGGCGTTTTATTTTTCTCAATGTGGATGATGGTTGGTGGGTAAAGGAGGTTGTTGTGGTGATTCCCCGCTCATGAAGGTATGAACATGACATCCCTTAGCTCTCCCGACCTTTTCGACGCTCTCTCACCCCTGGTGGGATGCTGGTATACCCAGGGTTTCAATGATGCTCGAGGGCTATTGGTAGATAAAAGGATAGACAAGGAATGGACTGTGTATGAGGAACCGGGCATTCCCGTCCGCTGAAAATGGATGCAAAGGGTGCTTCGTCATCTACACGCACATATCCTCCCCCATAAAAATCGGATGCACCGGGAAGTTGTAAGTGTGTTTCAATAGTAGACGTGGGCCAAAGGTCAGAAATGCCGAGAATTGCAGTCACGAAGCCGCAGGAACTGATTTTGAACATAGAAATGGAATATATGCCGGTTGAAGAAGTATATACATGAAGTATGGTCGGCGAAGACTCCATTCACCGCATCACATCTTCTTGAGGTCTCTCTCGAGCTCACATCCCACTTTCATCACCGTCCACCATCACTTATCCCATCAAAACAAGAGCTTCAACATCCCCTTCACCACCATCCGGACCATCTGTCCCTTAGACGCACTGGGAGTAGTAGGGGTTGAGAACAGTGCAGGTAGAGCCCGAGACGCAGGTGGTAGGGCCAGTCCAGCCAATGCCACCGCACTGTCCCCACTTCTGAGCAGGAGTGCCGGTGGACTGGGTGGTGGTGGGCTGAGGAGCAGCGGTGGTGGGAGCAGCAGTGGTAGGGACAGCGGTGGTGGTGATGAGAGTGGTGGGGGCCTGGTTGGTGGTGGTAGGCTGAGGAGCAACAGTGGAGCCGGTATCCTGACCAGGGAGGGTGGCAGTGCGGGTAGCGGTGGCAGTCGACTTGCTCTGGGCGACGGTGCTGGCAACGCCGGCAATGAGGGCCGGGCCGGGCACGGGGTAGACAGGGCTGGAAACCCAAGGGTTGAAGAGAATACCGGGGCTGGTGGAGGTGTAGAGCGAGGTACCGGCAACGCCAGCAGGGGAGTTGTTACCGCTGCCAGTGACGCGGAGGTTGAGGCACTGGGGGTAGGCCTGGGCGCCGTTGGGGTTGGCACCGCCGTGGAGGGCGACGATCTCGTGACGGAGGACGTAGTTGCCCGCCTTCAGGTCAGCAGGGATCTGAACGAGCCAACTGTTGCCGTTGGCACGGAGAACGTCCGAAGCCCAGCCGTTGCTGTAGCCACCGGCTCCGATCTTGAAGAAGCGGAGCGAGGCAGGGTCGACAGTCTCGCAGGGTCCGTTGCAGTTAGCAAGATAGTCGATGACGGGGCCGACGTGGGACTCGGGCCACTCGGGAGTCCAGACAATGCTGATCTTGTCACCAGCGGCGACGGTGGCATGGCCCTTGCCGGGCTTGGCGCCCTTGTGGCAGATGATCTCGGACGTGCCGAAGTTGACGGGTTCAATGAAGCCGTTGTCCTGGTTGAGAGCAGACCAACCGATCACATCAGGGGCCGCGCTGGGGTTGTAGAAGTCGGTCGTTGGGTCATAGTTGCGGTACTGGTTACCGTTGACAATGATGTGGCTGACGTGACCGTGGGCTGAGACGAGGGCAGCACCGGCCAACGAAGCAAAGAGGGCAGATCGGGGAGCCATGTTTACGACTGTGGCGGATTGGCGAGGTGATTAACGGACCCGGGAGTGATCGGTGGTGGGTGTGATGTTGATCTGGAGCTGGATGCTGATCGACTGCCATGATACCGGCGGGTGCGAGGTTCTTTATACAAGATCCAACGGCAGCATCCCCATCCAGGAATGCGGCGTCCTCCACGCATGGAGTCTTGGTCGGGGGAACCGGGACGATACCACCGCAATATTGGAGGAATGCAACAGAAGACGGGGAAGTGGGTCGGCCGACAGTCTGGAAACCATCATGTGGCCATGCTTGGTCAGGACCGTGGCGTCCCTGGCCATGGTCTGGATGGTGATGGAGGCGTGCTGGGGAAGCGTCCAGGGAGACGCGCGGTCCTGGACGCGAAGCCCAAGGGGGGCAACGGTAGCATCCGCCCCGGGTTGTCGTTGAGGACAGTGGAACTCCAGGAAATATCGGGATGTCTGCCGTCTTGATGCCATCCCTTTTGCTATGAGCTAATCTTGGAGAGCCGCAAATCAAGCGCTTGGAGAATCGAGGCTGTGACGCGATTGGCGGGAGCTGTCGATGGGGAGGGCCAGCAACAACAGTGGTTCCCGGGAACGCATCCAGAAGGCGATGCTGCTGTTACCCCAGACTGGGGATGGTCATGCTGGATTCGGCATTTGGAGAGCCTCTTCCGATCCAGGTGCGGTAAGGCGCCATCAGAGTGGCACTGAGCCCAGACCCCCCACCAAACCGTGGAGAAGGAATGCAACGGCGCGTTTCGATGCCAACGGCGACGGCGAGGAGACGATGCAACTCTGCCCGGCCCCAGCAAATGTCGCTAACGGCCAGCCATGTGGTGATCCTAAGCGACACCAAACCGTCGAGCTCGATGGGCCACTCTGACGAAGGGGCGACCCGGAAGCTGTCAACGACTTTAGCCTCTGAGGGAAGTGTCCCAACTCCAAGGTTCACGCAATATCGAGAGACGTTAGTTACCGCTCGAAATACCGGGGTGCAGAGGCGAGAACGGCACGGTAGTGTTGAGTGTGGCCATTTTTGGAGCGCAATTGAACTGCTTTGAACGACAGTCGATGAAGGAGGCCAGCATCTGCAAAACCCAAGATCGGTTTGTCAATGGGAAACAGCCAAGCCCCATGCTTTCGCACACAAGAAAGGGGCCAAGCTGGATAGCGCCATCGTCCCTACCAAACTCGTTGGCCAAGCCGTCGCTCCTTCCATCTCCCAGCATAACGTCATCTTCCTCAGAGCCCGTGCAACAAAATTCCTGCTCAACCCCAGTTCAACGCAACGGAGGTTCATTCGCCTAGCGCAAATGGTAACAGAAGGCTTTGGAAGTTTTTCTGATCATCTGGATCTGACGTTACGGCAACTCGGCGCGACGCCGAACCAAGCCACCCGTCAGCCCGACGCTACGAACATCGAGCATCTTGGCAGAGGCCCGTTTCCAGCTCGTCTTCACATTGCACCCAAGATTCACGCCCGCTCATGAGCCTTTGACCCACTGCGCACCTGCCACCTTCTCAGCTTCATTGCTTGCAAGCCGAGGCTATATCTTGCACTCAACAACGGTTAGGTTTGACATCTCCGCGACGAAAAATAGCAATGCCAACAAGTCATTCCAAGCTGGCAGGCACCCACAACCGAGACTCAGTTTGAGGGCGACCTGATCAAGCGATATTCGGCAAACCGACCGTAACCTAGTAGGAGGGTACTGAGAAGATAGGCCAGCGGCACAGCTCCCCATCAGAATGATGTTTCAACCCAACAGTTCTTTTCCCCAGTGCGAGACCGAGAGAATTTCGAACCCTCGCATGGTTAATAAGGTCTTCACTCTCAGAATCATCGCCTCCCCAGGTCAACATTGCAGTCTTGAGACCTTCCAAGGGTCGGCGGTTGAATGGCGACACCGAGCTCTGAGGGCATTCACCATTCACTCCCCGTTGACGCACAGTCCGACACACACAAGGCCAATGCGGGCAATTCAATCAACCATTCCCTCCAATAACCTTTCACATTCACACATCGTTCGAAAATACCAACAGAAAGGTTCACCATGCCGAGCGCGAGCGTAAAGTGGCGAGTGGGTTGTGCGTAGACCAAAATGTGGTTTACCCCCAACCCACAACAACAAACTGGGATGGCCCAAACCATCACCAACCGGCCGAATGGCGTAATGGTAGCGCGTGGTCCTCCTATGAGAGACTCAGACTGAGGTTGTGGGTTCGAGTCCCATTTCGGTCGTCAACAGCTTTTTGCATTGCAGATTCAGGCTCCAGATGCTAGTCATGATGGCCCACAGACTGGTTGAGGAGCGACATCCCCACCCTTTCAATGGGATCCCTTTTTGCCTTTCTCTAGGCAACCCAACTCTTCCAGACGTCATCCTTTTTCAGCACCTCAATGTCGTCGTGGCATAGCACGGCCACAACCTCGATGTTCTCCCCGGTCCTGGTGTTCACGTCATGACTTGGGGGCGCCGCCTTCGCCACCCTCTTGCGTGGGAGGACGACAATGAGTCCATCGCTTTCGAAATACGGAGTTCTCATGAACTCTGGGTGACCTAGCCCAGCCCCAAAGTCGCTCTCATATAGTCCCATGTTGGCCCAACTCGTCACCGACAAGTCAGGCCCATATGAACGAACCCAGTTGGGCACGACATTCCTAACGTCCTCAGCCTGATCCATCAACGTCATCACCTGTCCGATATGGCTGGCAGTTACGCGCCTGGTGGCCTCATAGGCACTCTCGATGAGGGGAGTGATCGATGACAGGTCAGCCGTGGCATGGCACCTTGACCCAATGTCTGCCAAGATCTCAACGTCCACCTCCTGCACTCCAAACAGGTTGACATTCCCAAGGTAAGGTCCCTCAGCAAATTTATGTCCAAGCATTCGTCTCCCGTTGACCGCAAACCCCAGCTTGGACCTTTCAGCCCCTAAGCTTCCTCCTTTTCTGGCCAACCTCGCCTTCGTCACACACGCCCACACGACCGCACACAGAACGTTGTTTGTTGTCAAGGCTTTTTCGTCTCCGACTTTGCCCTTGAGACTATCCCGGGCTGCTTCCAGTCTGGTAATGTCGAAAGTGAACAGCGCCGTCGCTCCTTTGGGCAGAGCTTGACCCCGAGACAACGCTGTCCCGGCCACCTCACAGGCGACACAGAATTCCGGAAGCTCTTTCAGAACATCGCCGAATCTCTTCTCAGTGTCATCTTGTACCCTCCCAACACCTCTCCAAAGCAGCTCGTCCCTGATGAACACTTCATCGCCACGCGGGCTGATATTCATCTCGCCCCTTGTGCAAGCCCCCCAAAACTTGATAAGCTCTGATACCCCCGTTCCATCAGCAACTGCATGGTGAGTTGCCACCCCGAGGACGACCCCCTCGTCAAGGAGCGCATAGCTAGCCGCAAAGACTGGGGCTCCGGATGCCGTGGGGTTGGCAGCGCGACGAGCATCAAGGAGTTGGGGGAACGTGTTGTGAAAGTATGAGATGGGTGCTCCCGATGCTTTCAATTCGCTAAAGGAGGTCGTTCCGACGCTGGATGGGATGTGGAGGAGAGTAATTGGCGTATCCGTAGGTGAGGTGGTGATAGCAACGCGACCGCGGTGAACAGCCACTGGTTCGGATGGCGGTGGCAGGGTCACCGTTCCCTTGAGAAACGGAAGTTGCGAGGCGAGAACGTCAAGACCCGCTTGGATGGTTTTGATTGCATCGGATGGGGATGGTGAGGCGAAGATGAGAAAGACCCTGACATCGACTCTGGGCATGTACTGGTCCAATGGCGACAGGTAGGTCGTTTGAGAGCCCGACGAGGACGCCATGGTTGATTGGTTCAATGCCACAAGGTGTCGTCTGTGTGTGATTGCTGTCGTGTTGATTGCAGACCTGCAAAATCTCACGTTGTTTCGCTCCCGGATTTATAACACTTATCAATGCTTACGAAAGGGAAAGATCCGATCGTGGCCACGGCAAGATGCGGCCGTTGCCGTCTGACTCATTCACCGTCGGGTGCTCTTGCAGTATGCATGTTGATCTTGTTTCAACTCATCCCAGCCCTCGAAAAAAACGATAAACGGGCAGTATACCGGAACAGTTAAAAAGCACAATACCAGGCGCGGAGCAGGAACAAAAGAGCTTCACCCGCTGCAGCTAGAAACAATTGCGGCCCCGAGGGCTCGAGCTTATTCAATTCAAGACGAGCCGCAACAGTCTGGGAGACACGCCGACCAGAGGGAGTTGCGGATACAACCCAGGTCTTCAAGATCTTTATTTTTTGCCAAGTTCAGGAAACTGAGTCGCACGATTCAGAGAAACCCTCAACGCATCACTGCGACCTACCTATACACCAGTAGATAGAGGGTGCTTGTCTGGTTGGCTCCGAGACATACATTATCACACCGCCGTGTGTCTCGGACGTGTAAGTCAATCTTGAAATGCCTGCAAATATTACCCAAGGCACCAGAGTTTTCTGTTGATGTTTTATGGAAGGAAAGATCCAAGTTCAAACTACTTGAAGTGGCGTCAGCTGGATTTACTACGCTATCTCGCGTTTTTCCCGAACTCGGTGAATTCGTGGAACATGTAGCTTCAAGTTCTTGCTGTGCATTTACAAAAGATTGGCATATTGAAGGAGTTGTTATGGCCAAAGTACGGTAGAAAGCCAAGTCCCTGGCGAAAAAGACGCATACCCCCAAAAAGAGAGAGGAAAAAGAGAAGGAAATTGCTTTTGAAAAAGGGGGCGTGTCCAAGGTCGCAATACAGTATATACCATCCTACAGACATCACATCAATATTCCAAAGGTACTGAAGAATACTCATGGCCCTTTGAATAAAATCATCGATGCTGGGGGTATTGTATGCATGCCAAAGTTGAGTGTGTCGGTCAGGAGCACTTAGGTAAACGGCATCAGTGGTAAGGGATACTGTGTGCCCTTTCTCTATCACCAACTTATCCTCATCGAAGCGTATCGTCCCAACCGACTGGAACCAAACAGCTCACTCTGACAGATGGAAACACCAAATGCTGGAGCTGCACTTGGATCGTTGGACAACGTTAGACCATGTTGGGGGTCAAACTTGACGCCCGATTCAACGAGCGCTGTGAGCTGTTTCATTGGCCTTTCAATGCCATTTTGAGTGGCACAGACTGCTGATTTCAAATCGGTAGTGCTACCACGGGCGCATCCAGTCGCTTTAGAGTTACAGCTGCTCGCTGACCTACGCACGTAGACTTGAACTCCATCAGCAAATCTGCTTGCCGCCTTCAATTAGACTCACTCACACTAAACTGGTGTTCCCGGCAAAGCATAGTTTCCTAGTATTGATCCTGTCTAGGTTGTTCTATATTGGGTAGCTGCTAAGCTTCTCGAGGCAGGGTGGCGCCAACTGGGGGCTGGGCCAACAGCTGTTTCACCCTAACCCCGAGACAGTACCAGGACACTGGAACAAGCGCGAAAGCCCGTCGTGTTGGCGGATAACTGCCCAATCTAACAATAGCCGGAACGGCGTTCTCAATTTTCATTTGAGTGGACGAATAGGCCCCTGTTCGCCGAGGAACGGGCTGGCCAAGACACGAAGGAATGGCGCCTCTCCTAGCCCTACGCATTGGTGCTGTCGCCATGGGTTTTGCTTGATTGCATTTTGCGGCTTGCCTACCCCTCGCCGCTTCCCGTGCTCACCTGCATCACGCATCACAAATCCAGCAGCCATGAATGCTCCCCGATTGCCACCACCGGGGCGAGGATGCACAAGCAAGTCAGCAAATGCCCGCCGCCAGATCCATTGGGTTCTATCGACGGCGATTCGGGTCTTGTATCCTTCTCATGCGGACGTGCCCGATGCCATGGCGCAATCATCCCGCACTCATCCATCAGCGCAACCCAGCTCGCCATGGCCCCACCGGCATTCGATTGATCGACGATCCCTCAGGACTCAGCCCCTCGATTCATTACCCCGCCGTGACTGCCAGCCCCTCTTTCAAGCCAGAACAGCAACGCAAACGCCGCGCTTGCGTTGCCGACTGCGAGAGCACTCGGCCCTTGCAGGGCTTTTTGTGAGGGTCGTTGGTTTCCTCGCTGCCTGGATGGGATGGAAGCAGCCCAAGAGCCAGAGCCGGCTCCGAAGCCCACCGACAAGCGCCAGTCAGCGGGCGCCGTCTCCCATCCACCTCCCTGACCTGAAGTAGCATCATGCCGCTTATTGTAGTCCTGGGACCAATCCCCACCACATTGGAAGTCGCTTTCTAGCCAACCACGAAGCGCTCACGGTGGAAAGTGCCGCCCACCCTGCGTGGCCTCATGTCTCCTCATGTCGCTCGACGAGAGGGCTGGCCACGAGCCGCCCTATCCGTGTATCACGCTGCCGCCCGTCTGCGGCCGTCGTGGTCGCAAGTACATGTCTGTACACCACCATGCTGGCACCAGACCGCTCCGCACTGTACCTAGTGGATGCAGTGTGGACGCAGACCCTGCCTGACGTCCTGGACCTGAGGCAGCTCGCCCGTGTCGTTCCTCCCGCGAGAGATTACAGAACACACGAGGGAACCCAACGCCGCCCCCCCTCCTTCACCCCTCCCGCACCCTGGCCTTTGTGGCTGACCGCCGCAGCTCCGAATAAATGGTGGGTCGCACCCCGCTCAGTAGGCCGGTAAACCGTCCCTCCTGACCCCTCCGTGCCGCTGCCACATCTCTGTCTTCTTTGCTTCTGTTCCTCAAGAAGCAGTCTTACTTTTCTCTCACACAAAACCAATTCGGGTTTCACTTTGCATCGTCGTTGCTCCGATCCAGCCTCACCCGCGCGTTGTCTCGCCGCCTTCGAAGGGTTAAAGGTCGGCGCAACCACATTCTCTCTCACATCGCAACCATCCGCCTGTTGCGCTGTATTCACCATGTCCAGCTACTCGGATCGCTATAGCGACGACGAGTCCATCGACGTCCATGTTAGGCGTGTGATGCAACGGGACCGCTCGCCGGCCCGGCGGGGACCCCCTCCGGCGCCTTCGCCCCATTTCATCCAAACCGTGACTCCGGTCCGGCCGCCGGATCGGGTTCCTTACTACCTCCAGCCCACCGAGCAGCGCACCATTGTCACGCACCACACCAGTCGATCTCGCTCGCGCGAGCGCCGCTCCAGCCCGCCGAGCCAGGCCCCCGCGCAAGTTGCGCCGGTTGTCATCCACAACAAGATTGTCAACGACATCTCGGATGATGACTCGGATTACTCATCGTCGTCCTCCCACC